TGCTAAAAGGTATCATAGACAATGAAGTAATAGCAATACTAAACATATATGCACCAAATGGTATAGCATCTAAATTTTTAAAGAAGTTAAATGAGTAACAGGAGGAAATAGACAATAAAACTATATTAGTGGGGGACCTCAACTTTCCTCTCTCAGAAGCAGATAAATCTAACCAAAAAATAAAGAAATTAAGGAGGTGAATAGAATTCTAGAAAATTTAGATAATGATAGATCTTTGGAGAAAACTGAATGGAAATAGAAAGGAATATACCTTTTTTCTCAGCAGTACATGATACCTACACAAAAATTGACCATGTGTTGAGACATAAAAACCTCAAAACCAAATGCAAAAATCATACGATTATCTCAATAGATGCAGAAAAGACTTTTGACACAACACAGCGCCCTTTTCCCTTAAAAACACTAGAGAGCATAGGAATAGCAGGAGCTTTCCTTAAAATAATAAATAATATCTGTCTAAAACCATCAGCAAACATTATCTATAATGGAAATAAGCTAGAAACCTCCCCAGTACAATTAGGGGTGAAGCAAGGATGTTCATTATCACCACTATTATTCAGTATTACACTATAGCAATAAGATAAGAAAAAGAAATTGAAAGAATTAGAATAGGCAATGAGGAAACAAAACTATCACTCTTTTGAGATGATATGATGGTATACTTAGAGAATCCTGAAGAATCAACTAAAAAACTAGTTGAAATAATTAACAACTTTAGCAGAGTTTCAGGATACAAAATAAACCCACATAAATCATCAGCATTTCTGTATATTACTAACAAAGTCAAGCAGCAAGAGATACAAAGAGAAATTTCATTTAATATAACTTTAGAAATAGAAAATATTTAGGAGGCTACCTGTCAAGACATATGAATACAATTATAAAACACTTCCCACATAAATAAAGTCAGATCTAAATAATTGTAAAAATATTAATTGCTCATGGGTAGGCTGAGCCAATATAGTAAAAATGACAATTCTACTAAATTAATTTACTTATTCAGTGACATACCAATCAAACTGCCAAAAGTTTTTATAGAGCTAGAAAAAAATCATAACAAAAGGTCAAGAATATCGAGGGAGTCAGTGAAAAAAAGTGAAGGAAGATGGTCTAGCTGTACCAGATCTCAGACCATATTATAAAGCAGTAATTATCAAAACAATCTGGTACTGGCTAAGAAATAAAGTGGTGGATCAGTGAACGGATTAGGTACACGATACGTTGTAGTAAATGACCATTGTAATGTGGTGTTTGATATACCCAAAGATCCCCTTTTGGAACAAAAACTCATTCTTTGACAAAACCTGCTGGGAAAACTGAAAAACAGTATGGCAGAAACTAGGTACAGACCAACATCTCACGTCGTATACCAAGATAAGGTCAAAATGGGTATACAGTTTACACATAAAAAGTGATATCATAAACTAATTCATAGAGCGTGAAATATTTTTACCTGTCAGATCTATGGATAAGGGAAGTATTTAGGACCAAACAAGAGATAAGGAGCATTACAAAATGTAAAATAGATAATTTTGAGTATATAAATTAAAAAGGTTTTGCACAAATAAAAACAGTGCAATCAAAGTTAGAAGATGCAAGTGTCTCTGAGAAAGGCCCCACTTCTCAAAAAATAGAGAACTGAGTCAAATTTATAAGAATACAAGCCATTCCCTAATTGATAAGTGGCCAAAGGATATAAACAGGCAGTTTGCAGACAAAGAAATCAAAGCTATGAAATCATATGAAAAAAAAATCATATGAAAAAAAATGTTGTTAATCACTATTGATTAGAGAAATGCAAATTAAAACAACTCTGAGTTACCACCACTCCATACCACTCCATACCTATCAGATTGGCTAATATGACAAAAATGGAAAATGATACATGTTGGAGGGGATGTAGGAAAACTGGGACATTAATGCACTGTTGGTGGAGTTGTGAACTGATCCAACCATTCTGGAGATCTGTTTGGAACTATGACCAAAGGACTATAAAACCCAGCATTGTCACTACTATGTATGTATCCCAAAGAGATTTTTTTTAAAGGGAGGAAAGAACCTATTTGTGCAAAAATATTTATGGCAGCTCTTTTGGTGGTGGCTAAGAATTAGAAATTGAGGGGATGTTCATCAGTTGGGGAATGTCTGAACAAGCTGTGGTATATGATTATAATGGAATATTATTGTACTATAAGAAATGATAAGCAGGATGATTTCAGAAAAACCTGAAAAGACTTACATGAACTGATGTATAGTAAAATGAATACAACTAGGAGAATGTTGTACAGATTAACAGCAACATCGTACAATGAATAATTGTGAATGACTTAGCCATTCTCAGCAATACAGTGATCCGAGACAATCCCAAAGGACTCATGATGAAAAATGCTGTCTGCCCACAGATAAAGAACTGATGTCTGAACAGACTGAAGCATACTATTTTCAGTCTTCTTTCCTTGCTTCCTTCCTTTCTTCTTTCCTTCTTTCCTTCCTTTCTTTCTTTTTCTTTCTTTTGTCTTCTTGCACAAAATGACTAATATGGAAATGTTTTATATGATTGTACATGTATATCCCATATCAGAGTATTTACCATCTCAAGGAAAGGGAAAATGAGGGAAGGAGTGATAGAATTTGGAACTCAAAACTTTAAAAAAATGTTTAAAGTTGTTTTTACATGTAATTGAAAGAAAAATAAAATGTTATTTTTTTTAAAAAGACACCCAAAAAGAGGGATTATTTCATTAAAATATTGAGTTTACCCATAATATTTGCTGAAGGTGGATTGCAAAGACATTCATAACTTACTTTTTGGGTATTTAAAGTCTTTTTAAAATGTATTTTTAGCATTCATTTTTAAAATTTTGAGTTCCAAATTCTTTCTCTCTCTCCTGTACCTCCCCAATCCATTAAGAAGGCAAGCAATATCAGTTACACATGTGAAGCATGACTTACTTTTCAGATGTGCTTTGAGCTCTACACAATATAAGGAATTATATAAATACAGTGGATTTCAAGGGATTCTACTTTATAGAATGACTTTTTAATCATAAGATTAGTCACTTATTGAATCAGAAAATAAACCCCTACACTATTTGTGTGTTAATAAAGGCTATTTATTTATGCTATTCTTCAAGGAACCATACATCTTCATTCTAATTAGTGTTAAACACACACTCACACAATAGGGCAGTGGTAGTCCCATTGTTATTAGATTGTCATCTGGAGTATTGTGTTAAGTTCAGAGTGCCATAATTAAAAAGCACAAAAACAGGTAGGAGAGTGTGTTCAGAGAAGGGCAAGCAGGATGTTCAAGGGCCTTGAGTACACATCAGATTCATTTCAATTCATTAAACATTTATTAAATGCCTACTATGTGCTTGGGGTACAGATAAGAAAAAGACAGTCTCTATCCTCAAAGGAGCTTACGATCTAATGGGTGCAGACAATGCACAGGGAAGCTCCAAAAGCAGGGAGTGTGGAAGGGACGCAAGGACACTCTCCCATGAAGAGAGAGAGGATGGTGTTCCAAGGAGTCCAGATGAAGCAGAACTACTGATGAAAAATGAAGAGTTAGCTGAAGTTAGCTGAGAGTTGAATGAAGATCTCTTGAAAGAACTGGGCATGTTTGGCCTGGAGGGGGAAAAAAAAAGACTCAAGGAGGACATGATCACTATTTCCAGGTATTTGAAGGATTGTCATGTGGAGAAGGGATTAGGCTTTTTCTGTTTGGCTACAGAGGAACTGGGAACAATGGGTAGAGGCTGAAAAGAGACCAATTTATGCTTGATGTCAGGAAAAACTTTCTAACAATTAGAGCTGTCTAAAAGTAAGATGGCTTGCCTCAAGAGTTAGTGCTTCAGCCTCCTTGAAGGTCTTCATCAAAGCCTGAACCACCACTTATTGTTATAGTTGTATATGGGTGCTGGTTCTCTGAATCTGGGTCCTGGTATTACTTAGGTAAGGAAAATCAATTGTTCTCCATTCCGTAGTGGTTTAGAAATAGGTATATTTTGGGAGGAGCAGCTTTCTTTGGCAAGACCCAGAAGACAAAAGGAAAACAAAAGGAAATTCAGCTTTTTTGGAACACAAGTATGATTAATCACAGATAAAGTACTTGAATCTACCAAAACTATCCTTTTTTGCCCTGGCATCCCTATGTATTTGACTTTAAATGCCAACTCCAGGAAGAAAGAGCAACTAACAAATTTATTATCCTCAGTTTGTATTTCTAATAAGTAAAAAATTAGTAATTGCAATAAGCAAAACTATTGTATTATTACAAATATTCTCTTCTTCCCCCAAATATGGTTTGTATAAAACATGAACACATGCTGTAATCACTTATAATTTAGTTCTCTTTGGTTTTTGTTGGGAAGCCATTCAATCACTCTTACCAGAAAGAAAGAAGCTTTTGGTGGATCTACTAATCAACTGGACTTTCATTGTGTTGGAAAGATTATCTCCTGAATCAAACATTCAAGGCTTCAAAAAAATATTAACCTCCAAATGCAGTGGATCATAGCAAAGATAGTATATTATGTTAAGATTGGAAGTAGAGAAAGACAACAAAAATGAGCAGTGGTGTTAAAAATGAAGAAAACCTTCTTTAAAAGGAAATAAATGTTTAAAATAATCTCCCTTCCAGAAAAAATATTTTTACATAATAATTATCTGTAATCATTTTTAAGTTGTGTAGATATATTTATATGCATACACATGTATATGTATATATATAAATATAAAATGCATACAATTATATACCTTATGTCTGTTCTGCAAAAAGAGGTTCGGACTAAGGTCTCTTCCAGCTCTATCAGTCTATAAAGAATTTGTCTAATGCACATGATGAAAAAAATTTCTATGAAAACTTCCCCAAAAAGATGGGGAGAATTTCTTAAATTTTTTACAGGCTTTAATAATTTTTATTGGAGATTGTTTGATTGTTTTTGCTAATTTGCAAAGTTGCCTGTTTCTCCTAGCAATCCCAAACCAGTGCAGTCCTCTCCCCTGTAATGAAGTTGGCTACGAACGCTGCATAGATGGTCAAGCCCAATTCACTTGTGTTTGTAAACCAGGATGGCAAGGAGCAAAGTGTGAAGAAGGTATGTTTAATCTATACCCTCAAAATGACAGGAATTAACCATTTGAAAAAGCTCTAAAAGATTCAGGGAAAAAGATTCCCAAAATCATGGATTTTTTAAAAACACTTTTCCCCCTCTCTTTCAGATATCAATGAATGTGAAGATCCCTCTTACGTAAAGGGAGGTTGTAGTCAAATCTGTACAAATTTGCCTGGAACCTACCGCTGTTCCTGTGAGAGTGGCTTCTATTTGCTTTCTGATAAAAAGGATTGTAGAGGTAAGGATCACCAGGAATAAAGAGGTGTTTTCTGTATGAAATTATAAAAAGAGGGTTGACGTTGTCCTTGCGTGATGTCCCAGAACCTGACAGTATTATTGCATCATTTGATTATATAACATCTATACCTAGATGAAATATTCATAATCATCCTTAATAATCCAATCCATTTAATAACCATCCTTAAGAATTTTTTATTCCCTATGCCTAAACTAAATCTTTTGAGATGCAACCCAAGTTAATTTCCCATTATTCTACTTTCACAAGAGAGTTGATCATGACTGTTCTTTGAGGGCAGGGATGATTTCATTTTTGGTTTTGCATCCCTAGCACCTAGCATAGTGCCTGACAAATATAATAGTTGCTTAATAAATATGTGTTGATTGGCTGATGAGAAGTCAGGAGCTTGCATTCTATTCTCTACTTTGCCACTGTGTGACTTGGGTCAGTTATCTAACTTCTCTGGACCTGTTTCCTCATCTGTAAAATTAGGGTAGTAGACCAGATGACCTCTAAGACCCCTTTTAATTTGAAAATTATATGATTCTATGATTATTTGGTAATGCTGTCATGTAAGTACTTGAAGACTTGATCCCCAGGCCAAATAAAAATGCCAGTTCCTTTAACTATTTTGTGCACCATATTTGTTTCTTCTTCTTCCTTTTTTCTTTTAAATTCTAAGGTAGACTTTATTTCTCTTTCTCTCTTCTATAGTGTTTCCCCTCCTCCCAACCCCATGATTTATTCCCAGCAGACTGCTTGGATTATCTGGTTTGGGGAAGATTAAAAATTGCCTAACCACATTTTATTCATGCTCATTGAGCCTTTAGAAGCTCATTTGGGATAGGGAGAAGATTAATTGTGTTTCATCTTTGCCTATAACAACTAGTAACAGTTCATTTAGTTTATTTTATTGATAAAATGGTTAAAAGAAATGGTTTAATGAATAATATAGTAAGTTTTACTTTTTAATTTTTCAATCATATTCATGGATTAACCATAAAAAAGGTTAACTGAATTTTTCCCAGTTTCTTCCTGTTAATCTCAGATTATAGAACCCTAGTATGTTATACCATTATAGCAAGGCTGTAACCATTCTTTAGAATAGATAATATAGTGCAGCATGTAGTATTATATTGCTTAGTAAATTTAGTTTTAAGCATTGCTTTAAATGGTCTTAAAATGATCTAGAGCGTTGAATCTTCCCTTCTAAACCAATGTCCTATTTGTGGCCAAGCCATTTTCCTTCAGTGCCTGTATGAGGACTGATTTGAGACTATAATGGCAGACTATTATAATCATTATAGTCGCTGAAACCAAACTTCATTCTCTTGGCTGTAATAAGTATTCCACTCAGAAACTTTAAAGAGACATATAGATGTGAGTTATTATTAGTTATCATTAAATAAGGAAATAAAATAAATTCACTCATTAAATATTCATAGGCATTTGCTTATTAGATTACAGTATCTTTCTCATTAAAAAATGGGTAAATATATTTTTTAGTAAAAAATCAACTTATTCTCAACCCCCAAGGTGAGACACATATATATTGATCAGCCATCAAGCAGAAATCTTCTTTAAGTACTAATATCCCTAGTGATCAGAACACATGCTTATATGAACTTCGTTAACATACGGCTTTTCCTTCATGACAGTTAACTGAGGAGATACAAAACAGTTAAGAGAATATGTATAAAAACATCAAAATGAGGTCTTAGCCAAGATGTGTATAAGCTTGGAATCAAATGGCCTGTAATCAAAGAGACTAAAATAAAGTTACCAAGATCCATGTCAGAAATGAGTGTCTGACAAATAAAGGAATAAGCACTTTTTGCTGATGTTAGGTGTCAGTGTAGGTCTGGAAAATAAATGGGAAATAACAAATGGTTCAAATTTTATCCTCTGTTATATTTTAACCCAAGCAATTTTATATATTGATTTTTTTTAATTTACAAGTTGGACTGTAGACTTCTGTTTTAATGCCTAATAATGATTACATTTCATCTCAGATTTAGCCAAGTAAATAATTTTCAATTAAGTGAATATGGAAATGAGGGGTTTATATGAAAACCTTTATACATGGACATTTCTAGTATTTCTTTACTTTAAAAAAGCTTTGAACGATCTTTTTATAGCATGAAGTTTACCTTTTTTTTTTTTTAATTTTAAAGTACATACCCTACTGGCTCATTACTGACTTTATCTTACTAGGCACTGCCTACAGGAATTATGGCTAGCAGATAGAAGTTGAATAAATTGGGAACTTCACAATATTTGAGTTGTGGTGTTGACCTTCCTCATTCCTATTCTGTAGACATGGGGATGTGAGAATGAAGGTGACGTATCTTGATGTATCCACTAAGGCTGAACATTGGTTGTTGTCTTCTGTTCTCGAAGAGGAACAAAATGACATCACTATGCTAGAGTCAAGTTACAGTGTCTGACTGTGACTGATAAGACCAAAATGAGCTCAGAATGTTCTACCACAGGTCAGGCACAAATAATCTATGTGAATATTTGGGGTGCATTCTCTAAATTTGCACATCTCACATTTCCTATGAGCTACTTAAGTGCTGCTTTGTAAAGCTGAACATGTTAATAAATGAGTGAAAAAAGCACTTCTTAAGTAAGCACTTACTATGTACTAGTATTGGGCATACAACTGCAAACCATCATGATAGTCTCTGCCCTCCTAGTTTATGTTCTAATCGGAAATACAGTATATATTCAGGAATTTTAGTCAGGGATATTTCAGACAGCGAATAAGAGGGAATGTTGATTGGAGTAATGATGCAATTGATTAACATGTGCTTATCAGGAATAATAGTGTTCATTAAATTACTGGTCTCAGTCTTAGAGTTAGAATGCAAGGGAAAAGAGTAGGGAAACATATACCGTCATAGGGAAGTGACCTAGGAAGTACCATAGTGGGTGTGGTCCAGGTAAGGAGAGGCAAATGCTCAACCAAAGCTCAGGGGAACTTGAGTTTCCACTGAAGGTGGAGGTTAGAATGCCCGCAAAACATAGATATAGCCAGGAAGTGGCTGGAAAATTGACCACAGTCACAACAAAAGTAATCTGGAGGATGCATATCTCTTGAGAGATGGAGCAACCGTATAGCTAGAGACATTTAGGGATTTCTCTGTTCTCAGTGAAGGAGAGGCAGGGGATGGAACTCTTTATTCCATCCCAGTGAACTAAATGGAGGCTCAAGCCTGTTCTGTGAGAAGGAAAATGGAAATTTCCTTAATAAGTGGTTGGGGGATGGTGAAAAACAAGATCTCAAATGAAGGCTACCTGGCTGCATATTTCTCATAGGTGCTTAATATGTTCTTGATATGTCCCTGCTGACTGATTTCACTGATAATGGTTATAGGGTCAGTTTTGGATTATCTATAAATAAATTATCCATTGTGGTGGATTATATGTAACCTCTTCTCCTTTATAGTTCCAAATTAGTAGAGCTAAACCAGAATGAGGTTGAGGAGGGGAACAGGGAGATAAGCATGTATGAGTATACATATATGCAAGTGTGTTGGGTCATGTTTCTGACTACTTACCAAAGTCAAATAGAATTTATTTTTAAATAATTTTCTGTTTTGGATTATTCACACCACTGTTCTGAGTTATTGTGAATAATGGCAAAATCATTCGTGGATATCCATCCATATGTATGTATGTATGTATGTATGTATGCATGTATAACTACCTAAAAATATAAAGGTGGATAAAATGAAAGTATGTCAAACACTAGAATTTTGCTGTTTTTAAAATCCCTTTTAATTTTTCATTTAACCTACTTTGAGACCACCATTAGAAATAGATTACCACGCTAGATGTGTTACTGGCCTAACCCAGTCAGATTCATTTTATACTTTTATAATTTTTAGAACTAATCCAGAAAAATAATAAATTTGATTCATTTTTGTTATTTGTGATCTTTCACAAGAGAAAGTATAATCTTTTTTCCATGATGGTTTACATTTTTCCCTCATATTGTACAGATGAGAAAAATTCACTCACTCCTTTCTCTCTCCCTTCTTATTTCACAGGCATGTGTGTGGGTTTCCTCATATCTCATTATCCAGCAACTAGCTGTCATTGATGCTTCATTTCCTACCTTACCTATACATATCATACAATCCTAAAGTTTCTAGAACGGAAGTTTAAATGATAATTGATATTGAATAAATTACAAGTTGTTACAACATAAAGCAGTATCTTAATCTCAATGGTAATTGATTTTATCCACGCATATCGTAACTCCAGAGAGCAACGAATGTAGACTAACTGGAGCAAAAGAACAAAGTGTTCATCCATGTAAAACAGATGAACCATATGATTCATTTTCCTTACTGTTTTGTATCATTGACAAATATTCATTTGAAAATCTATGTTTGGAAAGCAAACACTATCTGAAACCTGGTTGATTCTCTCCCTTCAGATCAATTTATATTTTGTCTCCTACTAGAAAAGGAAGCAGAAAAATTTTTTTTTCCTTTTCCTTAATTATGTAAAGGCAGTAAAAATGTAATTTAAAACCTTTATCTATGTCTGTGCTAAATCTAAGAAGAAGAGAAGGATGGTCATCATGGTGTAAAATAATACCTTTAGCCCAGAACATTTTTTTTCAATTCTGTAAATTCACGATAGAGCCAGCAAAGGCAGATCATAAATGCAGATTGATTTATATAGTTCACTGGCATCTTCTAGCATGATTTTTGTTTGTAATATGTAGATTTTGGTATCATTTACAGATGTGAATGAATGTGCTTTGTCATCAAAAGTCTGTGGGACAGCCTCGTGCAAGAACACCCCAGGGGACTATGAATGTGAATGTCCCAAAGGCTACAGATACAACCCCATGGCAATGGAATGTGAAGGTAAAGTTGTAGGACTGGGTTATAGTCATAGTTTTTCTAATGATTTCATGTATACTATTAAATAAATCAGCTTTTCTTATTGAATGAGGATGCAGGCTAAACCCTGTTATGAGTATCATTAGAACAAAATCTTTTTTATAATCAAAGAACTTGCCCCACTTCAAGTAATAGATGTAGAACATTGTAGCACAGCACAGCAAAATTATTGGGATAGTCCTATGTAACAACATTCAGCCTATAGTAGTATAGCATCCCAAGTCTCCCTAATACATAAGTATCCAGCAAGCTACTCCAGGTCCAAGGCATTTTGTGGATCAGTATCTGCTCAAAATAATGGCAAATGAGCCCTAATCAGTGTCTTTAATTTTACCAGGTCAAGAAGAGGACACACTAGTTCAAACCAAATAAACATTTAATGAAACATTATGTCAAAATAAATGATAAGAGATACCCATAGACACAAAAGTACACTCTTCCGCGATCTACCACTTCACTTAGGGAGAGGACTCACATGGGGAATATGAATGCCCAGAAAATGAAATTTCATATATGTATATGTGTATGTATACACACACACACATATATGGAATACTTATGACCAAGAAACATGTATGGCTGGGGCAACTCACAACTCCAGTGCTATAGAACTGATGATGTCATTTTAATGCCCCTACTGGGTATCTCCAGTGTATTATTCTTTGCGGGCACCAAATTATATTCAGTTGTTTTATGATTTCTTCCCCATAGTGGGAGAGGTCTGCTAGCTCTTAAGCTAGATAGTCCAGAATCAATCTTTAGCTCTTTAGCGTTGCAAACTCTAGTCATCTGTACCCAGTCAGCTAAGCAAAGAAGCCCTTTGACATGTTTGAGTCTGTCTTTTGAATTCCTTTTCCCCAGCTAAGGCTCATTGACCCCCTATTTAAACTCTTGTTTTAGTTGTCCTGTGAAGTTCCTTTTGAAGTATTATCGAATCTCTGGGTCACAAGTCTGGATCCCTTTCATATCATCACAAGGATTCTTTGTAGCAAAACTGCATAAATAATGGGTAGAACTGCGGAGAAGGAATTTCTTTCAGTTCTTATAATTCCCTTTGGTTGTCATGGAAATCAACTTGGAAGCAATATAAAAGGGACCAGGTGGCCCCATTTCTCAGTAACATTGACAAACTCACTATATTAATACTATCATGAATCTTATAAATATTTTGAAAGTATCTGTGGAGTTTTAGTCAAGCAAGGTGTTTTTTAGATTAAAATGCTATGTGTCAGTGTCCTGAAACATCTGGTTATCAGGCTACTTTGGCTTTTGGCAACAGATATGCCTAGGAAAATAAAAGAAGGCTTCAAAGGTATGACCTAGATTGTAGTAGTCATTAATCTTGTGACAGCACACTGCAGTCCAAACCCTTTGGTATGTGATGTAACTTTAGACAAATCTGGCCTCAGACACATAACACTTACTAGCTGCGTGACCCTGGGCAAGTCACTTAACCCCATTGCCTAGCCAAAACAACAACAACAACAAAAAAAAAAAAAACTTTAAAACAAATAGTATCGATTCTCTGCAGTCCTGGAGTAGAAGGGAGAAAGAAATGAAGTTCGGAATGAGAGAGGGAAAGAGAGATGTACTTTATCTTAAATTCAATGTTTTTGCAATTAATGTTATATTTGAAGTCTAATGTTCGTAGCTTTGTTTTTAAATGTATCTTAACTATCAATGAATAATCTCATAAAAATAATTTCTCATATTATGATGTAAATAACCCATTAACATTTAGTTTTAATAAGTGTTATTTTTCTTGTCCTCCTAACACAAAATTGGGAGACAGCTCCATAGGATTAGTACTCCTAACATCCCTACACATTTTAGCATCATCTGTTCTGTTTTCCCTACCTCAATTTCCCCATGAAAAAATGAGATAATAAGTTTAAGAACTGTGGAGCAGTCATTACATGTATTTACTTAGGCCCTAACTCTTTGTTTGAAATTAATAAACAAGAGGGAAATATATTGTAATGAATCATTCTAATTTACAGAGGCAAACGTTAAAAAAAATTGTCATCTTCTACCCCCATAACCAGTATCTGATAGAAGCGTTTGTTTTGTTTCATTGGAGAAATAGTATCATTTATTTCTAATAGTAAAAACCTTGAACTGAACATCGAGTTCTCAAGTATGTATTCTGTTTTACCCTAGATGTGGATGAATGTGCAGAAAACATATGTGCTCAACTTTGTGTCAATCACCCTGGAGGATATTCGTGCTATTGTGATGGGAAGAAAGGATTTAGGCTTACTCAAGATCAGAAGAATTGTGAGGTAAAAATCACCAAATGCTAATTCCATCCCTCTATTGTCCTTTTTCTCAAGTGGCCAAACTTCTTCCTAGAAGTTCTTTCTATACTAGCTGGTATAGTAGATAGAGTGCTGGCCCCTGGAATCAGGAAGATGTGAGTTCAAATGTGACCTCAGATATTCACTAACTGTGTGACCCTGGGCAGGTCACTTAACCTTTGTCTGTCTTGGATTCTTCCATTGTAAAATGGGGCTAATAATAGTACCCACTTCTCACAATTGTTGTAAAGATCAAATGAGATAAAAATGGTAAAAGTACGTAACACAGTTCATGGCATATAGTAGGTGCTTAACAAATGTTGTTTCTTTCCTTCTTGGACAGCAGAAACATGTCAGGAAAGTGGCAGTATGCCCATTACAACGGCTGTGCACCGAAACTGACTCTTAGTCATGGTCTTTTTTTAAAAGTTAGACTCTATATCAAGAGGGTTGACCCTAAGACCCTGCAACATAAGAGTTTTTCCAAGGGTAGTGTGGAATACTATCTCCATATCATTGGTAGAGAATTACAGTCTAGCAAAATCACTACAGGAACCAGAAGGATTTAAAATTGCCGTTTCTTGTGAGAGAAACAAGCATCCATGAAGAGACTTCAGTGAAAGCATTTTTCAGTGACTGGTATCCTTTATCTGAATTTAAACAGACTCATTCATTCCACAGGCTTGTGGATGCTTGAAAAATGTTCAACTTCAAGTGGAAACAGTCTTTGACTGTTTACTGAGACTTTGGTATATAAAGGTCAAGGAGGGCTATTGTACTGATCCATGCATTCTGTACTTGTTTTTAGTTAATGAGACTTGAGATTCAGGAGGCTTATGGTTTAAACCATTTCCTTTGGTGGTAGAATGGGTATAGGTACGAATTTTTCCTTTATTAATAATAGCATGTGTTTAAAGACATTATTGTAAGATCTGTAGAATAACACAAATCTTAGTTAAAATAAAGTCTATTTTCCTCACACTCAAGTAAAATTGAAATTTGGCAATATGCTGAATTGAAATTTTTTATATATAAGACAAAGCTTATAATTCTAAAAATTAGCACCCAGATAATTAGCATTTTTATTAGTGTATTTAACATATTAGCATTTTTATGCTTATATATTGCCTTCAGGTAATGTTGCATAGTGAGTAGACAGCTTGAGGAGCAGCAAGACCTGAGTTCAATTCCTGTGGAAAACAGTGGAAACAGTGTTGGATTTGGGATCAAAGGACCTGAGTTTGAGTACAGGCTATGGCACTACCTGTATAATTGTAGGCTAGTCACTTATCATCCCTGGTCCTCTGTTGCCTGATTTGGGGGTTGGACTAGATGATTTCTAAGCCCTCTTCCTGCTCTAAAATCCATAATCCCTGCAAAAAGACTGTGTGCCGCTGGGCAAGCAACTTAACCTGAAAGTGCCCAGATAACTCTCTAAGAGTATAAGCTGCAGAGCAGTTGTTGATCCACAGTAGTAGAGGAAGTTTCCTCACTGGGAGTTCTATAATCCAATTAAATAATAATAGCTAGCATTTATATAGCAGCTACAATGTTCCACACTGTGCTAAGCATTTTACAATACCACCTTATTTGATCCTCACAACAGCCCTGGGAGGTAGGCGCTGCACTTATTATTATCCCCATTTTACAGATGCGGAAACTGAGGCAAACGGAGATTAAGTGACCTGGGTCACATAGCTGTTCTTAATTGGCTGAAATGGTGAAGCAGAAGACATACAGTGCCCTAAAAGCTAAAAAGCTTTTTAAAGAAACAAATTTTAATTAAGGGTTGTTTTTCCAGCACCTTGTGAGGCCCCTCCTGGACTTGAGGGCATCCTAGAGTCTCTTTCCCCTATCTTGAAATGCCATACAACTTGCACCAAAAGAATTTCCTTTGCCTCCCTTATCCTGTGTTCCATATTCTGTCATCCTCTTCCTCATCCTGTGTCATGACAATTTTTCCTTATCTTGACAACCATTTTCCTAAAAATATACCATTATCCTATAGGCTGTATAGCTTTCTGTCTATATAAGTCTGGGTCCTTTCCTACATCAGGGCCTTTGTTTAGCTCTTTTGCTAATCTCAGGCCCATGCGCTTTGATGAAATAAAGCTCCCAATGACTACAGAGAAGGTCTAAGTGAATTCTTTCATACCTGAACCAGCTCTCCCAACTCTAAACCTTAACAGTGGGATTTGAATTCAGGCCTTCCTGACTCCAGGCTTAGTACTTTATCCATTGTGCCATCTAGCTGTCCCAAATCTGGTCCCAAAAAACCCCAACCATTTTTACCTAGAGAGGATATGGAGAAAAGCAAAAAAATAGCCTTTGTTCCCAGTGAGCTCACAGTCTAATGGGAGAAACAATGTGCAAATAACTGTGAAAAAAAAATAGATATGGGATAAATTGTAGATAACCCTGAGCATTTTTATACAAATATAAACAGAGTAAATCTATATTGACTCAAATAGCTAACAAAACATTTCAGTAATTTTATTTCTGAACCACCTCAGATGAAGATTTGAGTGTATCACTCATGTAATGCTTCCTACTGATATTAAGAATTTTATAAAATAAAACTCTAATGTAATTGGTTGGAATCCTAAAACCAAATACTTATGTCCACTTCTGCAAATCTAATGCCATTTGTTAAATATTACCAGAAAAATGTCACAGCTTCCTTCATTCCACCAAATAAAGCTATTGTTTCAAAAACATGGTTCCATAAGCTGGAGATCTTTTTCTGCTCACTTGTGATAAGAACAATTGAGTTCAAAATAAGTTTGAGAGATGAGTCTGTTATGTGATGTGAGAGATATGAAATACCACCTTCATTCCAGGTTCTACTCATTATTAGTTAGTCTTAGTACTTTGTTTGCCATGTGACCTTTGATACCCTTGTGTTCCCTACTTCTTAAAATACTTTGTTTAGCATTGTTATCTGCTTTGCTGGAATGGCATGAGACAATTGATTTTTTTTTTTTGGCTAGGCATAGTGTCAAGTGTCTGATATCAAATTTGAACTCAGGTCCTCCTGACTCCAGAGCTGGTGCTGTATCCACTGCGCCACCTAGCTGCCCTGACAATTGACTTTTAAAACTCTTTGAGATATACAGATTAAAAGTGTGCTTTAAATAAAAATGGTAATAAAGTAATAGATATTTCCTGGAGCTAAGGCAGTGGCAAGATTGGGGAAAGGAATGCTTGAGGTAGGTTTTATTGGGATTGAGACATGAAAAGGAAATATATCTGGGCAAATTAGGAGTTACAACTATTGAGAAATACTTTAATTATAAAAGTGCGGTATGTTGAGAAGCAATGGCTGATGAGACATACTGGGGTATGAATTCTATTACTTTATGACTCCCAAGGAGAATCTCAGCTTATTTAAGTATATCATTCAGGGTATACTTGACAAAAACAAACAAACAAACAAACAAAAGAACCCACTGTGGACCAGAATGAAGTTGTGAAACATTACATATCCATGGGGTTTCTAACATAATGCTTTTTTCTTTGTGTTTTCCCAGCCTGTTCCATTGTGTCTTCCTCTGAACCTTGAAAAAAATTATGAATTACTCTATCTGGCAGAACAGTTTGTAGGGATCCCTGTTTTGTACTTGAGATTTCGTTTGCCAGAAATCACCAGGTGAGCAGCTGATTCAGCTATTCATTTCTAGAGGTCAGAGAACAAGGAAGAAAGAAAGGAAATGTTGGAGAAACACTGGTTTGCATGAATTGCCAAATCAATTAGAAAGAAGTCTTATAGAAAGGAAAATTAAATCAATTCTGTGATGCATTCGTATAATTAAAAATTCCAAAACTAGTTACGACTTTTAAAATAATTTTGATCTGGCCTTCCCCATATCTACTTTAGTTTCTTACACTGTCTGCTTCCCCTTCTCTTCTAGTAGTTTCCCACTGCCTGAATGTATATTTACCTGGGAGAATTTTTAAAGTAGTTCACATTGTTCATCTGAAGTGTCAAGATATGTAAACCACTTAGGGAAATGCCTGATCAATAGGAGGTGCTATATAAATGCTAGGTATTATCATCATCTAGTTATATACATACATATATGCTACATATGCAAATAATCTGAGAAGATTGGAGCTAAGTTGTGAAGGCAATAAGGGAAGCGAGGGGGCAATAGAGCATTCCAGACATGGGGGATAGTCAGTGTGCAGGTACAGAGATGGGAGTACATAATATGCAAGTAAGCCAATGTCACTGGATCGGGGAGAGGAAGAAGGCTAGGAAGGTTAGGAAGGTTAGGAAGGGCTCAGATATGAAGAACCTTAAATGTCAAAAAAAAAAAAAGGAATTTCTCTTTGATACTGATACTAAGGCAAGGAGAGTGTTTGAAAGGCTGTTGTAATAGTGTAAGTGAGAGAGGATGAAGGCCTAAACTTGGGTTATAGCTATATGATTTGAGAGAAGGGGACATGTACATGAAATGTTGTGAAAGTTAGAAATGAAAATACTGAATACAAGGGGTGACTGAGAATAAGGAGTAGAGGATGACATGTAGTTTATGAGCCTGGGTGACTATGAAAATGGTGGTACCCTTGACAGTAATTGGGAAATTCAGAAGTAGAGAGGTCTTGGGGGAAAAATTAATGAGTTCTGTTTTAGACATATTGAGTTTGAGATACCCAACAACCGTTTTGGTGGTGGTGGGGTGTGTGTGTGTGTGTGTGTGTGTGTGTGTGTGTGTCTCTGTGTCTGTGTGTGTGTCTGTGTGTGTGTCTGTGTGTGTGTCTGTGTGTGTGTATGTATACTTAAGTATATATATATATATATATATATATATATATATATATATATATATA